GAAACTAAATTTTCTACATTGAACGGGGTTTGAATCTGGGACCTCAGAAATGGCGACACCATAAAAGCAGCATGTAGACCACGGAGGATGACAACAAATTGCACTCGTATTATCGAATTTAACATTCTCTATAAGGCAAATTCTTTGAGAAACAGCCCCCTGCTGCAGCTTCACATTCATCATTTCATCACCGACTTCACCCACTGCCAGGTTTCTTTTGCCTTTTCCATGAACCGCATTTTTGTCGGAATCCATCTTGCTGCAGGATTTATCATTTAAAATAAACTGAAATATCTAAACGGCTCAACTTCCTTAGATTTTTTCGTCCAAGTGAGCGATTTATGATCGATCAATCGATGTTTATTGTTGTCTGAAAAGAAAACAAAAGATGAAGGGTCGTAGAGTTATCGATAAAAATAATTCCTTTAAAGTTTCACAAATGTGTTACTTTTCTTTTTGTAGGTACTTTGCAAACATTCTGACGTATAATGTTGAAGAATTCGACAAATTATGTTTTGATGTACAAACTTAGAATAATAACGCATAGAATGATAGTTTCACATCAAACGAACTGTCACAAGTGAGGCAAAAATCAAATTCATGTAGGCTAGTTTTAGTAGTAGGTTAATTTTCGGTTTTAGTGAATATTTATATAAAAATACAAGTTGAAACGCGTTACTTCCTTGTGGAATGTGATGTTAGTATCTATTTTATGTTTGTCTGACGTATTTTTACACTCATTTACCGCACATTTCGTCATTTTTTAGCTAAAATTCTGGAGCTGTTCGCGGTGCAAGTTGACCTTGAGCACTGAAGGCCCGCCCGCTCGTGTAGGCCCATTGGGAGCGCTTCAATTTGCCTCACTTAGCGTGTGCAGACTAGGTTTCTATGCGTTATTATTCTAAGTATACAAGTATCACCACAACATCTCTATAGTAAGTCAAGATACGCGATATATTTAAAAAAAAACTGAGTGGTGGTAGCCTATTGGGAGAAGGATTGCTTCCCAAATGAGACGCTTACGGTTGAAATTGACATGGCATGTACATGGACATTAATTTCTACGTCATGTACATTTTTATTAATACAAACATCGATACGTAGAACAAATTTCTTCGATCCAGCTTTTGAACCAACGTCTTCTACCAAACCATGCCAGACGACCCAGCGGACCTTACGAATTTTTCAATGCGCTTGTTTGTCGGATCTTTGTTTTAGATGTTTTTAATCTCAAGTGACGGGACTAACAAGTAGTGCGCCTGATGGTAAACTACACGCCTGTCCACAACAGTTGCAGTGCCACTCAGAGCTTTAAATCGCAAACATCTGACACTGCCAGTGCGCCCGTCACCCTGAGTGTAAGTTGACAAGTCCCATGTGCCTGTAATTTCACCAGCACCCTTACCCTTCAAAACCGGAACACAGTAATAATGACATTACTGCTTGGCGGCAGAAATAGGTAAGGTGGCAGTACTTCTCTGGACGAACTCTTTCACAAGGAGGTCTAGAAGACTCCATGTATAAAAACAAATATCGGGGTATACGGACGCCTTGGTTATTAATATTGAATTATTTTACAAGTGTCTTTGCATATCTCTCTATGTATATATAGTGGGTTGAAAATGTTGATTATGAAGTATATATATATAATAACATCCCCAGCAAATCAAAACTACGTCGTATTTCAATAACAGTCTCGTACATTTTATGTCGTAAAACGTTTTAACAAAACGCCGTTTTCGTAACAAAATAGTTTTGTTCAAATGTTCAAATGCATTCTGTTCCCTTAGGCACGTTTTGTTTCGAAATGAAACGCATTTGTCTGGGTCTTACTGTAGCTTTAAAACTATGTAGGATTTCCTTTTATTCAACTAGATTTTTTATTTCACAACCGATTTTGTTTTCTAAAGCTTATTATACACTCCAGGACATAAATTCGAACCACCTTGCATTTTTATATTTAAGTGTTAAAGTTCAAAAATATTGTTACCATGTGGTTATTCAAATTCAAATTCAAATTATTTATTTTCTCAGATAACAAGATCCATTGGTGTTAGTAAAAAAAAAAAAAAAAGAAACAAACTTATAGACTATTGTTAGTATGAAATTATAATTATAAATTACTTAGAAACTAAAATGTCATGTACTTACGAGGCATCTCGTGCGGAATCATTGTCCGTACGAGATGCCTCAGTACAGGCGCTCTGTGGTCGTTTGCAACAACTCTCAGAATGCTGTTGCCACTACCCCGGAGCCTACTAACCAAAGATGCTACCTTTCTCCGCAAGACCGCATTAAAGCAGCTTGTATGGGATAGAGCAAACATTGCAGAGGCACTGCAGTACCGGGGTAGTCCCAACATCATCCTGAACACGTTGTTGTACTTGTACTGGACTCGAAGGGAATTCAGCGACCTTTGCGAACAGCTAAACCACAAGCCGCCCGTGTACAGACCCTGACAATACGCTTTAAAAAGCGTAATTTTTACTTGGTCCGTACAGCGGGCAAACCTGCGGGCCAGCATATTTCCGCGGACCGCCAAAGCCCTGCGTTCCCTCTCGACGTCGTCATCATCTTTAAGGTCGTCGGCAAGTATATGTCCAAGGTGTTTAAAATGAGACACCTGTTTTACACTCATGCCATTTAGCGAAATAGCTGGAATGACTCTGGACACCTACCGGCGGCCTTGAAGACCATGAACTCGCTTTTTTTAACATTATAAATTAGTCCGTGTGATGCGGCATATACCTCACAGACTGCCAACATCTCCCTAATAGACTTCGCAGTCGGGCCCAGCAGCACCATGTCGTCTGCATAGCTGATGTTATTCACACAAACATCCCCCACACAACAGCCGACACGCATGCTACTGTTATCATCAAAGAAAAAGTTTTCCAAATTTAAATTTTCAGGTTTTGACCAATCAAATATTTTTAAGGCATTTAATATTGAAAATGGAGGGTGACACGATTTACCTTGTAGCAGTAGTCACCTATTTCTGCCGAATGCTCACATTACTATGTGAGCATTACCGCGTGCCGGTTGGGACTTGTCAAATTATGTCTCAGAGTGACAGGCACAGTGGCAGTGTCCCTAAGATCTTTGCGATTTAAAGCTCTGAGTGGCACTGCAACTGTTACGGATAGGTGTGTCGCTTACAACCAGGCGCACGACTTGGTCGTCCAGTCACTTGATATTATAAAAACAAATTAACAGGACTGAAAATTGTCATGTTATTTATTTTTTGAATTTTATGTTACAAAATAAAAAATAATAATTTACATAAAAAGACTCAAAGAACTCACTGTTACTTGATTTATTTCATAATTAAGAAATTTACGTTAGAAATTATAAAACTATTGTTTGGTTTTGGTATCCCCTTCTCTTTCAGATCTCAAAATACTTAGTTATATATAATCGAATGTGTTAAACTGCTATTGATGATTTTATAAACGCTGACAATGAAAAGTGTCGATACTGGTAGATTCAATATTTGTTCAAATTTTACAAGCCCTGAATACTAACACGTCTATCACGTTCGATTAGTTTGTAGCAAGTTCTAAGAAAGTAAACCATTGAATGTGAAATATCTAGAAAAATACACAAAATTTTTAAATCATGCTAAGGCCAAAGAAACAAAATTAGCTTGCATAATTGAGTGTCACTGTTATAACACTATTATTCTACGTCAAAATATAACTTCAAACTGGTCTACTGTAAAGTATGTATTTTGTTTAGTTTCGATACTGTAGGTACCTACATTGCACAAGTCGATATTGATATGATTCTGTAAACCAATGAATAAAACTTTTCACATAGTTATCAAAAACACGTTTTCTAAAAAAAAACAGCTACAAAAACAAATGCAGCTTAATCAATAAAGCTCAACGCTAAATTATTTAATGAAAAACAATTATTGTCCGTGGGATGGAACTGTCCTAAAGTACATAATCGACGAGCTCGTTACGTTTATTTTTATTAAGAGTGACATGTGAAGACAGATGTTGTTTAGTGTAATTTGTAGAACGTAGCGTATTTGGCATATTCTTCTGTGATTTCGAACTCCGAGTCCCAGGGCATTTGTTTTAAAAGGCTAACAATTTTGGATCATCGCCAACCTATGTACACGTCGCAATACTGGACACATGTCTCATCTCAGGCGAGGGTTTGTTGGGGACTTCACAGTTTTCCGAGATTTGTAAACCTTCTTCGACGTGCAGGTTTCAAACGAACGAACAAGTCGTGCGCCTGCCACCACTTGTTCGTCCCGTCACTTGATATTATAAAAAAGTAAAAGAAAATCCCGTTCATGTTTTAAACCACACAAAAATAACGCAATAATAAAACTCATTGTAATATTTGTTCAAGTTACTGGATTACAACAAGCTTTTGGCAGTCGGCAAACAGTCACGTGAGATGAATTGATATTGACATTACATGACGGTCCTTGTTCTTACTATTGCACAACTATTGTGCAATAATAAAACCATAACAAAACAGATATACAATGCTTGTCAAAACGTGATGGTATTTATGTTATCGTGAGAAAGATGCTCAACGCCAATTTAAAATTTGTTAGTCCACTGTTTTATCAAAGTAAAGATGGCGTGTAATGATAAAACAACATTGTATACCTTCCCCTGTCTTCATAAAATATATTTACTGCTAAACAAATAATGTTGTGTACAAAATTTTTTTTTTTTCCTTTTATAAAATTTATAAGACTCGGTAACATAATGAAAATTAAAGTTTCTTAAATTATTGTCACTAAATACAGGTTTATACAAGAACAGATATATCTGACTACCCTCTTCCGAAAGAGCTGTGACCGGAGAACGTATAACCGCTCCTAAATATTGGGAAAATAAAAAACCGTACAGTGATCAGAAACTTGTAACTAGTGAGAATAATTTACTGAATAACCACAAAAATCTTAGCTAAAGCGAAGTCGAGTAGGGAATATTAATTATTTCTAATTTTTCCTATTTCTTCTCCATCAGATCTGAAGAAACAATTTACCATATCTCCATCACCAACGTCTGTGGAAGCAGGCTCAGCAGCCTCCCTCCGCTGCTCTCCACCAGCGGCTGCTCCTGCTCCAAGAGTAACTTGGTTAAAACATGGAGCACCATTGCAGCAGGATCATAATGTGCTGGTTTCTGCTGAGGGGAATTTACTGATTTCTAGAGCTTCTTTACAAGTGAGTATTAATTTACCTTATATTTGTTTGTGCCAGACAAAGGTTATGAAATGCTATATCTAAAACTAGAACCCTGGTTTAAAAGTACCAAAGTAACGATAATAAATTGATCAAGTATAAAATACACCACTTCGACTTTAAAATATTATTTATCCCCAAATTGTAATACAATTGTTTATGAACATTATTCTGTACGCTTTATATAAAGGAGTGCATTAATATTTGAACAAAAGAAGTATATATTTTCAACGTCAAGTAAAAAGTAACGGAAATTTCACCGAAGGTAGAACCAAACCTTTGGTCATCAATAAAGGCTTCAGCGAAATGATGCGAAGGTATTATTAATACAAAATTTTAATGAAAACATACCACGAATATTAAAAACAAAAACAAACGTTCTCAATTCACCCAGCGCGACTAACTAAAGTCTAAAAACATAAAATGCGTCTAGACCAAACCCACAATTAGCGCAGAGTATCATCCAATAAAATTCACAAAAATCGACTCGTAAATGAACTAGCAAACTTGATGTTAAGAGTCATTCAAACAAAAAGAGACATTAATTACCTTCCATAGAACGTAGTATGAAAACTAACCCGGACTTTTACACTTTTATTAAGTCCTTTGAAAGAGAACACCGGAGGCAAAAAGAAGATTCTTGTGTTGCAATTAATAAATGTCTGTCGGGCTCGACTAATTAGTTGCAGTCTCGATGCAGTGTCGCAGTCGGTTAGAGATACAAGCAATTGCGAAGATGCGACGATAGTGCAGTGAGACACGCTTCCACACTTTCGTGTTAAGGAACTTGTGAGCCACGCAATGGTGTCGTGATATGAGAATTTCAAATCGTGTAGGAAGTTTGAAATAGGGCCATTTGTTTGAGAAGACAAGGATGAAAATACAGATTTACTCCTTGAAAATTGTCTAGAATGGCATAGCGAATGTTACAGATATTTATTTAGCTTAAAAAAAAAGATAAATAAATACCTTTCTTGTGCTTTTTCTTCCCTACAGTGACCACTTCAAAATTTTCTAACAATTAGTTAAAACACTAAAACTATGTAAAGTTTGACAAAAGTTTCAATAGCTCCAATGTTCGAAGTTATTCAATATTCATATCACAATTCAGTTCTTCCAAGAACGATGTACTAGTTTCTTCAAGAATCAATAGTTAGGTATCGAATTCACATTTTCCATGTTTATAGTAATTATACAATCTTACACTTTCGATTGCAACCACAGGTCTTTTATGTTTTATTTAAATTGGTTTATTATAAAATCAACAAAACACCTTCAACATTAGTTACAATTCAATATTCACACCGTATTGTGGAACTCTAATAACATTGTCCCAGTTTCTTCGAGAATCAATAGTTATCGAATTCACATTTTGCTCGTTCTTGGTGCATTGCTTATCTGCAGACATTAACTTTTATAGCACACTGGCGTGCGAATGGGTTATATGGCGAACCAGTACACCTTTGTTGGTTATATTGGTACCAAGGTATTCTTAGATTGTATAATTAGATCTGGTATTATATTGATTACGTTACTGAGCATTGCAACTATATTAGTAATTTTGGACTCGTCGTAGTCGTAGTTGATTTCGAAATATTTAGTGTATCATCGTAAAGTTCATTGTCCCGATCTCAAAATATTCAAACACATTTATTGCTCTAACATCATCAATATGTCCAAATTTAATATTCGCAGATACTTCAAAATTTGCTTTTGAAGCCATATGGCATAACCCTATTGATTCCAGAGCTTCATAGTCATATTCGAATACCCCTTAAAGCATATGACTCACAATAAGGATGTACACCACATGGCATCGTGTCAGTCAACATCAATTACATGCGAATTTGAGCTCTTATTAATTCATGATGTTTGATACTTCCTTAGTTGTTATGTTTGCTTTTTTATTATGACTTTAGTTATTTTGGATTATGCACGTATGTATGTATGTTATGTTACATACATTGGCAAAGGTTTTTGTATTAAATGTTCAGTTTAAAATATGAATAACAATTTGTTTGAGATGAGATTCAGTTATTTACGAAACTTTGTTACAGATTTAAATCGGGTATATTTTCCTTTTAAACAAACTCAATGTTTCGGGCTCTTTACAGGTTCCATGGTCACGGTTGACTCAATCTAGGAACTCAATAAGTCATAATATTATTTTATGGAATTGAATTTCAATCTCGTCATCTTTTGCAGCATTATTTTAAATATTAATTCCCCTTTCGTCCACATCGCATATTTCTCCGCAATCTTATTTGTCCTTTGCATTTCTAATTACAGAACCGCGTTCGTGCTTCCAAACTCTGTAATTAATACACTTTATGGGTGGCAAAACGTATTGACCTAATTCGAGCACGTGTTTTATAGTTTTAAACGATGCCTTTGTTTGATTCGCGGTTAGTTTAATGCTGTTAACAATGTATGTTGTAATTTATTGATCGTAAAATGTTCTTGAAATTATTATGTGATTATTTTATTTGCGTTATAAAATAAGGATGTGAGAGTGCCAATGAAAACCTTGCGGAGCAGTCTTGTTGTTCGCATTCAGACTTCTAGTAATAAATGCCTACATAAAACATATTTATGGCTTTGATGTTGAATTTTTTTAATACAGTATCACAGTTTAGATATTGTGTTCCAATATTTGGATGCGATATAGGTGTATATTATCCTGGATGTGTACTGGATCTTCACTCTGGTAGTACAACTCACATTTACTCCGACTCTCTCCATCCAAAAGTAACACTCACTGTACCAGAAATAAGTATATCCATTAAGAAATACCCAAATATAGTACAAGTAACAGACGTACACATCCAAAAAGTCTCGAGTGACATTAATCAAACGTACAAACCAACACGAGTCCTGCAACGGTACAATCGCAAATAACTCATTCCATCTCCGGTTTCCGCTACGCAGCTTTCACTAATTAGCCTCTGCGGCCGAACATGGATTAATAGCTGTCTTTGCTGTATGTGTTACAGTAACACTATCCTTCAAAGGCTCAGTCAGCCTAATTAAGGTAATCGCAATAAGTATTGCTGTCATTTCAATGATATCCTCTTGCGTCCTCTTCTTCCACCTCTCTTATGTTTTATAATGGATGGCTAATTATGTCTTATGAAAACCGATATAGTTTAGGTTAAATTAGTTTGAAAACGAGGCCGTCTTTAATACCGTTTCTTTTTTACAGTAGTTTAGTTAGTGCCAGCAATTTGCAATTTCTTGATTTGATTGTGAACAAATTATAGATATATCCTCCTATTTATTTGAATTAAGGACGTGCTCTGTAATTTTTACGATAAGAGAATTTAGACTAGCCTTATACGTAACATATTGTTCGTTTTGTATTCGTGTTGCTTAATTTATAAAACATACATTTACATTTTTGGCCGCTTCCCCTTGTCTGCTTTGTGAGAGAAAAACAAGTTTATGTGCAGTGTCGGACGATGTAAAATATTTATATTTTCTCTTCCATTTCCAGCTGTTGTACTTTTTCTGCCAAGTTTAGTTTATAATATTTTATCAGTTTTCCACTAAACAGGACACCGGAGTTGTAAATATTTTATAATTGAAACAATTTTGTCAAATCAATACAGCTTTTCAAATTGTAGCAGTAATGCTAATCGAATAACGGGTGGCTTGTCGTAAATGAGTTGTACTTGTAATTTGGTCAAACAAAAACTGCTTTATTACACATGCAATACAATACAGAAAAAGAAATTTATTTCAAAACACATGTGTCAAATGGGTCAATGACTCAGCTACAGAAGACTATGGACTACGCAGCCGTCGATGTGGTTAAAAACTTTCTTAAAGGCGTTATTATCTCGTTTTATTTTCGGGTCCGGGAAAAAAGACACTTTCAAAAGTATCTTTCCGTATAGGATAGGGGTTTAAGCAGAAAAAGTATGGGATTTTGATCAAGTCTTTTATTAACTCTAATTATATAATAAAACAATATTTATGAAAGTTTTTAGCTGTTTATACTGGACACGTAAGAAACAAAGTATGTTTAATTACGAGTATCTAGAATATCGCTCTTCAATTTGCACAGATTGTGTCCTTGTAACCAGAATAAAGAATACTGTTGATTTAGCAGATTTTTGTCGATATCACCGAGTTCCAATCGAGAATCGTCGGAATTTGCGAAATTTATAGTCTTAAGGTCGTATTCCAGAACTCTACTCAATGCTCAAGTCAGGATTTGAGCAGACTTGAGTATGAATTCAAGCACTGAAAATACGACCATAATGGCAAGGACTTGAGTATGATTTGTAGTGCTTTGAATCATACTCAAGTCCTGACTTGAGCATTGAGTAAAGTCTAGAATACGACTCTGACATTCCCAGAATGAAAACACTGTCAGAAATACCCCGAAAATTAATAAAAACCCATACTCCTGCGCAAAACTACAACAAAATTAAAAAAATCTGCATTGCATGTCATAAAACCATTATTAAAATTAGTCTGAATGTCGATAATGATTGAGATTTGTTTCTGCCTGCATAATAAAAAGGTTAAAAACTGGGTCGAAGCTATATAAAAAAAGCGTCACAGAGTCGTTTCAACAAGTTAAGCTACGGATGTCAAAATACGCCACAAATAGCTATCGTCGATAGCTGCTGATGGAACTTTTAAAGAATGGTGTCAAGAAAGTGTAAAAATTTTTGTTTTTTAGAAAGTTACAGGATTTTTGTTTTAAAATGTTTGTGTAGTAGAAAAGACGATTAATTGGCGTAAAGATCAAAGGAAAGTGCATACTGGTTTTAAACTACATTTACATTTTCTTTTTATTCTATCCGCGGATGATATTAATCTTCAGCAAAATAATTTATTTTTTTACGATATTAAGTAACGACGATAACGTCGTGATGGTACGATCTAGTCGTAGGCCTGGTGACTTATCACCACGCTTATCACTGTCGCTTACGACATGCCTATCCATAACCGTTGCTATGACACAAAAGCTTTAAATCGTAGAGATTTGAAAGCACTGTTATTGCGTCTGTCACCCTGAGACATAAAGTTGACGTCTCATATGCATGTACTTTCATCAGCTTTAAAACAGAAACGCAGCAATGCTTACATTACTGCATGGCTGTGGATGTAGGTAAGGTGGCTCCAAGAACTCTTTCACAAGGAGCTCCACTGCTTCTAGATGAAAAAATAAGTATTTTTCATAGTCCTTATTACGTGTCTAATACAGATATTTTGTTCACAGGACATGGCGAACTATAGCTGTGTGGCTGAAAATATCGCTGGTAAACGCATTTCGGAACCTGCACTGTTAACCGTTTATGGTGAGTGTCGTTTCTTTGTTTATAAGTTTGGAATAGTTAAATACGACAATTCTAAATATATCGAGTTCTTAGGTTTTCGCGATTGTTACATAGGAAATAAAACTATTTTTCCGGAGTTGTCAACTATGATCTTGTAAAGGACCCAAAGCGTTGGTTTGTTTGAAAAAACAAATATACGCGATTTCAATCCGGAAAGATAGTTTCATTTCCTGATTCTATACATAGTTAATGATCTTATTTGATGAACTGTTTGTGTACTTTATTTCTTTTACTAAACTTAATTATATTGACTACACCTACATTTGCATTTAAAGATACATCTTCAACCTTCTCTTCATTTCAAATTACTGTTACTTCATCTCTAACTAAATCATTAACTAGAAAATCCTTAACATTTATTACTTCACAAATTATTACCATCGCTAGACGATTTAATACGGCTTTAACGAGATTTCACGATTCATTATTTCATATATAATTTATAAGACAACCGACATGGTCGGTGTTTAGAGCTCATTTCACCCTTGCCTGTACATAATAACTATCTTTAGTGAGGTGGGATCAAAGGGCAGGCGCCGATGGCTTGCAATTATTGCCATTGCAGTGGGAAGAGGCCGTTAATACAGTGTATCATCTTGACGTAGACTTAAAATCTTTTCAATTTGATGATTTAGTCTCATTGCTTTATTTATTATTAGAGTGATCGATTTGATATCAATTGAGAATAATCTTTATTCATTAACCTCACTAAAGTTCTAAGCAACACATACTAAATCCAGTAAAGAGACAACAATGAAGTAATCTATATTAAATTGAGTTTTTGATATAGTTACCTTTATTGTTGTCTTCTTATAGCTACCTATAAATATATTTAGGACATTATATTGAGCTGAACGAAGTTTTTTATAGTTCTTTTGAAGTTGGAATCGCGACAAAAACATTTACAAACCACAGTATTAATCAAGTCAACATCACTATGTTTACAAGTTACAAAAATAAATTTCTTCCTCAAATCCCCCGTTTAATTTAAAAGCTTGTTGTGTCAATTTTGTCAAGTCGACTTACTACGAAGATAAAGCTTACAGCATGTTAGAGTCATTAGATGTGCGCCTACGCATCGAAGTATGGCGCCTCACTAACTGATCACAATCGCCAACTCTGACTACGCACGTTCAAAATACTTATTTTGCAGATTATTTGGTTCTGATTGGGAATATTCATTTGTGAAAGATCATTAAAACAAGTCTACTACAGAGCATTTCAATGATAAAAATCTTTTTACTTCTAGGCTTGACGCTACCATGGTTTTTGTTACCTCCATAAATGTTATCACCTTTTTGTTGTCCCAAAAATTGTACTAGTTTTTAATTACCTGCATCGATATTCTATCTAGTGTTGGACTGTTTAACGTTTCATGCATTGGTTTGATGAATTTTCAAATTCGTAACAAAATTGCCGTCTTTATCAATGTTACGTTAAATCACTTAATGTTAGTAATTTCAAACCTTGTGGTTATGTGTGGTGTACTTTAATTTATAGATGTTTCTTCGATAACGGATTGCGTGTTTATTACTCTTGTACCCTCAACACGTACGTGCTTATGATATTGATCGTCTCAGTTGGCACCTTGGCCAATTATTTGCTTATAAATTGCAACTTCGATTATTATGATGTATGGAAGTTTTATATCTAGTTGCTAGGCATTCACCATTGCTATACACATTGGAAATGAAACTGTTTTTGAATTGACCTGAGTTGTACATAGTCCGTAACATTAGTTTGTTTAAAAAGACGAATTTTAGATCCGGAAAATGGGTTTGTCATTTTAATTAGTATCATCTTTAGTACAGGATGTGTTAATTGCGATCCTTAAATCGAAAGAAAATGTGTAAATGGGGGTTCAGGGATGTTAGTCTAACTTGATGGGACTGCTGTGCCCAAACACAGTCCATACAGCACTTGCTTGTATATCCCTCGTGCTTACATGAAGGAAGATTTCTATGGGGTCACGCATAAGCAGATTGTGCAGTCAAAGTGGCGACATACAACTCAAATTTAATATAGTCCTAAAATAAGTAAGAGGAATACAGCGCTTGACAAAGGGTCACGCTTGACGCTTAACGCTTCGTCTGGTGCAGCCATTTTTACAGAAAAAAACCTCGCATATGGCACGCTTCTGGTCGGGAACAACATCTATGCGTTCCGTTTAAACTACTTTAACTCAAACTGAAGCGACAACATAAGACAAGGATAGAATATGGTTGTTCAGTCATGTTGTTCTTAAAAATAATCATTCAATATGAGCCATCATACAAGACCGAGACAGGGCCTCCCGTTAGGGTCGACTTTTTGTAAAGATTCTACAGTCAAAAAAAATTCTGAAGAAGTAATATAGAACGTAAATAAAACACAAATTTGAACGGATATTTGTTATGTTTAATAATTCTAGGGTTTTACAATAATAAGAATATAATTTATTTCAGACAAAAATAATCCATATTTGGTTAGTATACAATCATAATTCTTATGTAACTACTGTTAGTAATACATATTAATCTAATGTTTATGTAGACTCAGCCAATGTTCAATAAATGGACTGTCCCACCTGTGTGCAACCGTGTTCAGAATGGTGTTAGGGCTGGCAAGCACACGGAGCAGCGTGGAAGCGCAGCGCTTCCGCATTATGGCGTGGAAGCCATCCGCCCTCGCCGCGCAGAACATGCCAGACGCGCTACAGCGGCGCCAAAGCCCCATCAGAACCCTGAACGCGTTGTTGTATTGTACGCGCAGAGCGCTACATGCTCTCTGCGTGTATCTGACCACATAGGCTGCACGTGTAGCCGCTCACGCGATGCGCTCCTCCTACCGCAAAATGGCGGCTATTTGGTTTCGCAAATTAGAGCAGCATTCAGTTTAAATACAAGTTTTTATAAATAAAAATTATTATTCTGCATTGCTAAATAAATATAAAAAACTTAAAAAACGCTACTTACGGTAAGTTTTCAATAAATAAACACCGAAATCACCAGCCCAAACAGTAACACACACGATTGTCGTGACGTATTTTTGAAGTTGTTTATTTTTTTAAATGACAGACCCAGGCATTAAAAACTTTATGGTTTGCTAGAGTAGTTACCGAAATAGCAATTAATATTAGTTCTTTTACCTGTTATAACTTCGATATCCGATAAATCGGTATAAAATCATCACCGGCACCTCTAGGTGTGGTATGCGTCTACGGCTGCATGTATCGCGTGAGCGGGTAGAAGGACTGACAGAAAACTTTTTAAAAAATTGTCGTCTTCACCTCTTTTGTAGAACGTGCAAACCTGCGAGCCAGCATATTGCAGCGGACAGAGAGCGCCCTGCACTCCCTCTCCAAATCCAAGTCATCACTCAGATCTTCAGTGACCTAGTGACATAGATACTTAAAGCAGACCACTCTGTTAAGGGCCAGCCTGCGTAATTGACTGTAATGTGGTAAAGGTCTTCTTACCAGCCTTGAAAACCATCATTTCACTCTTGGTCGCATTGTATCTGAGCCCATGGGTCTCAGCGTATTTTTCAAAAATGTGAAGCAGTCTCCTCATGGCACCGATGAAAGGACTCAACAAAACCATATCGTCTGCGTAACTGATATTATTTACGCAGACCCCGCCTACATGACAACCGATACCGGTTTCACCGAGTTCCTCGATCAGCTTATTCATATATAAGTTGAATAGGCGGGGAGACGACAAACCCCCCTGCCTCACCCCGCCATCCAACCCATAACTCTTCCGAGAAGGAACCTGCCCACCTTACACTATTAGACTGCTCGCTGTACCAGAACTTGAGCAGTTGAATGATCTCACCAGAAACCTGTGAACCTTTCCTCAACTACGCCAGAGCAAGTCGTAATTTACCAAATCGAAGGCTTTGGATAAGTCAAGGAAACAGGCAACCACAGGCGTACTTCTGTCAGCATAGTATTGAACAGTATGCTTGAGTAATAGGATTGCACTGTCTATGGATAGTCCGGGTCTAAACCCGAATTGAGTGTCGTGCAGTTTTATGCGTATTTCCATGTGTTTATCAAGCAGACTGTCCAACACTATTACTATTACAGGTGCCAGTGAAATTGGTTTGTAGTTGCCTATATCCGAAGTGCCCCAGTTTTGTTTTTCAGTATTGGTACTACAATAGTTTTAATTAGTGCTTCTGGAAGATGAGAATGTCCAATACACAAAGTGAAAAACATGGCTAGAACTCTAGGAAGGTGCACTCCGGCGTGCTGCAGATGCTCGATGCTGAGGCTGTCATGCCCTCCCAAGGAGCACACTTTAAATGTCTTAAAACTGTTATATCTATAAACAGTCTTAATATGGTATAGATTTAGATAATAGTTCTCTATAAATGGTTTTAGAAAAAAGAAGTTGTTCTTATAGACTTATTTCACTCAAGTCCAAATTTTAAAACCTTCTCAATACCAAACAACTTAATTAAGTGTAATCTCTCTTAAGATTTACTCTTATAGTCCTTATTTTAAGTTCATCTGTAGAACAACTGATTATTTTTAGTAAAATTGTTCTATACACATCCAGTAAAGCCTATTGATACTCTAAAAACTAGTGTTCTTAAGTTTATTCTAGATATATTTAATTTATAGACATTCTGTAGTGTTTGTACTTATTGACAAACACGTTATAGCGTGTCTTCAGTACATTTTATTTAAAAACATACTACAATTAGGGTTTTTACTCTATTGGTAAGAGTTTATGCAAAATGGATGAAGTAAAGAATACTAAAAGATCTGGTGGAGGTGGTAAACCTTGGATATTAAGTCACATCATTCGATACAATCAGCGTTGCCAATGCCAATTGTTCAAAATCCCCAAAAATCACTATAATAATAATAACGTACACAATCAACATAGCCCCGCACTAGGGAAACCTTGTGTCGCGGGCAGTGTTGGGCAAAATTTAATTGTTCTGGTTTTTTAATTAAAGATTGACAATTG